CGTCCTTGCCACCCTCCTCCCGGAGTCTGGCCGCGTCCTTTTTTCGCAGTGGCCGCGTCCTGGGCCTCGGACGCTATTGGTGTGGGGCCCCGGCCGGGGGGCCTCAAGCCGGGCGCCCGCGGGGAGGCCTGAGAGCTGGATCCCCGGCCGAAGCCCGCGCCGCGGAACCGCCCCGCCCTGGGCCGCAGCGCGCTGGACTCTGAGCTCCTCACCGCGGGTCCGCGGCTCAGGCGCCCGGGAGGCTCGGGTTGGGAAAGGAAAGAGGAGGCCAGGCGGCCAAAGTTAGGTCACTTGTTAGTGGGTCGTTTGAAATTTCGCTGGGACCTAGCAAACTGTCGCCTTGTGACTGCAGAGTCACACAGCGGGCAAGCCCCAACTCCAGGAAGGCGTGGGGTCGGCCCGGATTGTGGCGCGGTGCTCCTTCCTTAGCCACCACTTAGTCATCTCGATCTCCTTTCCCCGAGGAAGCCAAAGTGCCATTTTGTGGGGGGGAGGGGGAGGGAGGGATGTAAGGGTTGTTTCGTCGTTCGAATCAAAACGGGCCAAGTTTATAAAAATAACTTTGGTACTTTAGATCTTGAGTGCAGCGGGATGCTTTCTTGCTAATTGGCTTCTTTGGTGAGCAACACAGATAGTAAGCAGGCTTAGTTCTTTCGCCAGTGGCTTTGCCAGCGTCCTCTGGAGCCGACCCTGCCGACGTCAGTGAGTCGGCGGCCAGGTAGTGCAGCCCGGCTGCACTGACCCGGAAATTTGAAAAAGGCCCAGGCGCTGGTTTCCTGATGGGAGAAGAGCTGGGGTTCGTTCTGGGCAGAGCAGTGCTTAGCAGAACTAGACATTGAACTTGGCGTTACAGTTTCAGGGAACGTTTCCTTCCTTTTGTTCGCAAAAGGCTAGGGAGGACATTTAACTTTATAAAACGAGTAGGGAAGGGCACAAAAGAACAGTCCGTTGATTCCAGACATCCCAACTGTTCTGCCAGGGACACCACCATTCACCAATAGGAGAGGTCTATTAATTGCTTATTTCTCTACTCCCCAAATACATTCGTCCATTATGCCTTGTGGATTTAACTTTAGGAAGATTTCTAGAGTGCGAACCTTGGTCTCTAATCTTACTGAAATTACTTGAATCCATACCCTCCTCTCTCAGGTGATCTTCTGAGGTCGCTCCTCAGAAGGGCACCTGAGAGAGGAGGGTATGGATTCAAGTAATTCAAGAACTCTAATGTTCTTCTAAAGCGTATGTTTAGTTCTTTCACTCCTGTTAAAAGCCTCTATGGTCTTATTGTCCTCGGTAGTTAATCCTAAACTCTTACTTGGGGTGCAAAACCCTTCTTAGACTGACTGAAAGTAATTTGTTCAGCCTCACCTCCTGCCCTTTGGTTTCCCACTATTCTTGAACCTAATCACGGTAGCTACTATTTTTCTGGCTTTTGCTCTGTGTGATTCTGTACTTCATATTCATGATTATGTTTAGTTCTTCCTGTGAAGTAGACGTGCTTCCCATCTTGTAGATGAGAAAAAGGAATGCAGAGATTATTTGGCTTACCCAGGGTTACCTAGCTAGGGAGAGAGTAAGCAGTGATTTAACTCAGTTTGGTCTGACTCCAGAGCAAAGCCTCCTGTTCTTACTTGCCATGTGGTGTCCCTTTGCAAAGGCTGTTTGCTTTACCTGAGAAAGGCTGTTTTCTCCTCATTTCTCTCTTCCAGGGAAGTCCTAGTTTCAACTCCAATGCCTTCCCCCCCATTCCCCTTCAGAATGAGTTGTTTCCTCCTTTGTGTGATCACAGCACTTTCTTTATGTTTTTCTTTGAGCCTTTGTCATAGTGTAATTTGTGTTACAGACTTGTCTTTTCTGTACTGGGTTCTGAAATCCTGAAGGGCAAGGATCTTAACCTAATTCCTCCAGCCTAGTCCAGTTCACCCAGTTTGTAATCCCCAGGCTCTAGGGTCTGAGAGGGGACTTGGGGTTTTTAAATTATTTTTGTGTTTCTAAAAAGATGGAAGTCAGAAAAAACTTGGAACATTAACTGAGTGTTAAATATTAGGTTATTTACTTAAGTTCTTCCTTCTCTTTTCAACACTCAAGGTTAGTGTATTGTTGTCTTTATTTATTTATTTTTTTGAGTTGGAGTCTCACTCTGTCGCCCAGACTGGAGTGCAGTGGCCGCTCCGGGCCACCGCAGCCTCAACCTGCTGGGCTCTGGCGATCCTTCCCCCTCAGCCTTCCAAGTAGCTGGAACTACAGACGCGTGCTACCACGCCCAGGTAATTTTTTTGAATTTTATTGTAGAGATGAGGACTCGCCAAGTTGCCCAGGCGGGTCTCGAACCCGCAGGCTCAGGCAGTTCACTCACCACGGCCTCCCAAGGCGTGGGATTACAGGCTGAGCCACCGAGCCCAGCCTGTTGTCTTTATTTTTATAGCTGAGGACATTGTGAGGTTTAGATAGGTTTAAGAGACTTACCTAAAGTAGAATAGTAGACTACTGTGGGGAGAGAGAAGATACCAAATTTTGCAGGGCGTGGTGGCAGATGCCTGTGTTCCCAGCACTTTGGGAGGTGGAAGCTTGAGGATTGCCTGAATCCAGGGGTTCAAGACCAGCCTGGGCAATTTGGCGAGACCTCATTGCTACAATAATTAAAAAAAAAATTAGCCAGGTGTGGTGGCACATGCTTGTGGTTCCAGCTACTTGGAAGGATCATCTGAGCCTGGCAGGTCGAGGCTGTGGTGGCCATGAGTGTGCCACTGCACTCCAACTTGGGCGACAGAGTGAGACTCCTATACAAAAACAGAAACAGAAACAAATCTTAGCTCTGGGTCCCAAATATTGTCTTCATTTCTTCCTTGAAGGCTGCATGGAAGAGTACAGAGGATGCCAAAAAAATGTATACACATTTGAAGCAAGGAAGAAACTGTATTAAAATTGTAATACTCAGTAAGAGGAATACAAGTCACATTTGACTTCTGCAATTACAAGTGGTGCTCAGAGTGGTTACCATCAGTGTCCAGATACTTCTGATTATAGCGACTCTCTCTCTCGCTCTCTTTTTTAAAAATTTTATTTGGATTCTTACTCTGTTGCCTAGGCTGGAGTGCAGTGGTACACTCATGGCCACCGCAGCCTCGACCTGCTGGGGTCAGGCGATCCTTCTGCCTCAGCCTTCCAAGTAGTTGGAACTATAGGTGTGTGCCACCACACCCGGCTAATTTTTTGACTTATTGTAGAGACGAGAGCTCACCAATTTGTCCAGGCTGGTCTTGAACCCCTGGACTCAAGTAGTCCTCTTGCCTCAGCCTCCCAAAGTGCTGGGATTACAGCCCTTTGAGCCACCACGCCTGGCCCAACAGTGAACATCTCTTTTTTTTTTTTGAGTTGGAGTTTCACTCTGTCGCCCAGACTGGCATGCAGTAGCACGCTCCCAGCCACCACAGCCTCGACCTGCTGGGCTCTGGCGATCCTTCCGCCTCAGCCTTCCAAGTAGCTGGAACTACAGGCACGCACTACCACGCTCGGCTAATTTTTGATTTATTGTAGAGATGAGGTCTCGCCAAGTTGCCCAGGCGGGTCTTGAACCCGTGGGCTCAGGCAGTCCACTCACCTCAGCCTCCCAAAGGCACAGAATTACAGGCTGAGCCACCAAGCCCGGCTATGAACATCTCTTATAATCTCTTAAAATGTATATACATTTTTTTCCCCTGGTATATTCAGTTTAAGTTGTGGATGGAAATTCTTTAGATTTAGTAGAGAAATGCCGGTTGTATAATGCTAATCATAGACTGAGAATCAATGCTTAAACCTAGTTAGTTTAAAAAAAAAAAGGAAAAATTATTGATGTAGGTTGATTAACAGGATCTTTCAATACATGGAGTGGAAATAATAAAAGTGATTTTTTTTTTTTTTTTTTTTTTGAGTTGGAGTCTTACTCTGTCACCCAGACTGGAGTATAGTGGCTGCTCCCGGCCACCACAGCCTCGACCTGCTGGGCTCTGGCGATCCTTCCGCCTCAGCCTTCCAAGTAGCTGGAACTATAGGCGCACGCTACTACGCCCGGCTCATTTTGATTTACTGAAGAGATGAGGTCTCACCAAGTTGCCCAGGCGGGTCTTGAACCCGCGGGCTCAGGCAATCCACTCACCTCAGCCTCCCAAAGGCGCGGGATTACAGGCTGAGCCACCGAGCCCAGCTATAAAAGTGATTTTCAAGGTGAAAAATGGGACTTAGAAATTAGCCGGGTGTGATAGTGCGCGCCTGTAGTTCCAGCTACTCGGAAGGCTGAGGCAGAAGGATCGCCGGAGCCCAGCGGGTCGAGGCTGCGGTGGCCGGGAGTGGCCACTGCACTCCAGTCTGGGCGACAGAGTGAGACTCCAACTCAAAAAAAAAAAAAAAAAGAAAAATGGGACTTAGTACCTAGAATAGTGCCTTAAGTAGAGCAAGCAACAAATGTTGAATAATCAAATTAATTGCTTCATAAAGAACTTTAGATTTCCTTTAAAAATCTTTTCTGAGACACTGGGCCACAAAGATTTCTTTATAACAATGGACTGTCTGCAGATAGTGTAAAATACATTATTAAATATAGAATGATTTGCATATATCAGGCTGAGAAGTTATTTTAAGC